CATTGTGAACAATTTCCTCTCATCTGAAGGTGACAGTTTGGGCGTTCTTTCAGACTTTGGCAAAGTGGTGTCACACCCGATTAACTGTTAGCTCTAAGAGATCTTCCCAGCTTGTGTAAATCTAGCTTTCTTTCTTAGATCTTCACTGAGCTCCTTGGACTTTTCCATTGTTCTGAGCATTGTCAGTCCAATGAGTGCTGTCAAATAAATCCTTTTTATGTTGGCAAAGACAATCTGTATACAGATGAGGACAAAATTATTTGCCACACAGTACAGAAAAGGTCTGGCAGAAGTAGGAACCAAACAATTTCAAAGAATCTGGAAAGAAAACTAACGAAGATGTACCTAAAAACCCCAGAACAACTGCCAAGACTCTAGTGAATGACCAGCAATTGTACTCTGAAAGAGGGCAATCACTAGAAGCCTGCACAGGAATGGACTGCAAGGTTATGGACCAAGAAAAACTCCACATATAGTGTCAAAGTTCCCAAGTCCTAATTCGAGACACCATCAAAGCTGGTTGAGAACAACAGGGCTAAAGTCCTGTGGGACCAGCAGCTGCTGGTCAACCAACCAGACACAGTGGTGGTTAATAAAAAGCAGAAGACTGCAGTTGTGATAGATGTTGCAATCCCAGCAGACAAAAACATCAGGAAGAAGGAGCATGAGGGAGCAACAGGAGCAGAATTGGAAGGTAAGTTCTAAAATGGTCCAAAATGTTCCTGGTAACAGGAGCATTGGGAGCTGTAACAACAATACTAAAAGAGTGACTTCAACAGATTTCACGCACAACAACAGAGGTCTCTCTCAGTAGTGAACTTATTATAAGCAATTCAAATTCCATTTCTTCTTCTTTATTCTTGGACACTAATAAAGTTGCTTAGCATGATTCACAGTTCAAAATAATCCTTATTTATCATATACCATGTCTTGGTTCAGCCTCATATGTCCCTTTAAGGTCCCTGAAAAGCTGCAGCTTGGTATTGTAATTCTGCAGAGGCTCTTGGCCACCACTGAAACAGACCATCATGCTACACCACAAAACCTCAAACCCAAAAATCTCAGCTCCAGTTCATCTGTTGTCCGTGGTGATGCATGCACATTATGATCTCATTAAAATGTTTCCTTTTAGCAACACTAACAATAAAAAGATCACCTCAATAGCATGATGCTACATTTCAAGCATCCATTTGAAATCCTACTTTGGTGAAAGTACCGATCTTAATGATAATAATAACAAACACACCTAATAAGAGCACATTTTTTGTAGGAAATCACTCTAGTTTCATCTGAATCACTGTGAACAATATAAAGTAGATGTAAAAAAATAAAAATACAAGTATAGAGTATAAATAGAAGTGTCTAAAAACTTTGTCCCAAAGTATAAAAATGTTAAAGATGGATTGTTATATCGCGATGTTTTAATTCTCCCAGTAGATGGTCAGCAGGTTTAAGTCATAAATCCATTCTTTAGAGCTGCTGTCTTTCTTTGCAGCTAGCAGCATTCCCATCTGCCTTTATTTGATTTGATTTTTTAACACCATACAGTAAAAATAAATAAATAAAATCAACTCAAACATATGGAAATGTTCAGCAGCATCTCTTCTGTTATTCACATCCCTCCAGCACGGTAAAACCCATCTTTTACCGTCCTTCTCTCTCTCACTCTCCCTGCTCATTGTAGGTGTGGGTCTCTTGGCACTGTTTGTGCTGAATCATGAGGATATCAAACAATGACTGGCTGGACAAAACTGACAACTAATGAAATAACTTTGTGGGAGTGTGACACTCCGGGGTGGGGTGGGGTTGGGTGGGGGTGCACAGTGACCCCTGATTTCATTCTGCTGGGCCTATGGCAGGCCGATCTGCCGGCCAGCTTGGACACTCTCGGTGCTGTTGGCAAAGTTTCCACCCCTGGGCGTCCCGTATATATTGAGCTCATTGTGCCATCACAAACACACTGGCACAGACAGGTACTGGTAAGGGGATCATGTCCGTCACGCTGTATTTTATATATATTTTTTAATATATATATTTATCAGCATTTGTCTTCTTTTTGCCACTGTAATTTAGGTTAAATCTTAGAAACTTAGAACAATAACAGCAAACAGAATCAATCAACAGCTTTTCAGATTTTAGAAAAAGCTACCAAGAAAAAAAAATACAGAAATACCTCAAAATTATTCAGAATTATACTTTTACCTGTTTCTTTTCAGCATCATCCTTATCCATTCAATATGGCCACAGACCACCAGAGTCCTGCATCCAAGCAGCAGCAGCAGCCAGGCACCAGTGCGTTTAAGGTGAGGGAAGACAGGCGCACACTGGCAGCGAGACCAGTTCACATAAGTTCACGTGAAATCTGTGCACGCCGTATTTGCAATTGTTTATCAAAAAAACACAACTCCTTTCATGAGCTAAAAAAAAAACCCCTCTTTTCCAGCTGGTTATCTATGAGCAGGAAAACTTCCAGGGACGCTGCCATGAGCTGACTGGTCCCTGTAACAACCTCCAGGAAGCAGGCGTGGAGAAAGTGGGCTCCATACTGGTGCTGTGTGGACCGTGAGTGTGGGTCAGAGACAGACAGAGAAAACTAGCAAATGAGCAAAAAAAGAGGGAATGGCATAGAGAAAAGCAATCAAATTTAATGTGTGATAAGCAGACAACCAACCATATTTCCAGCTGAGCCCCTGCATCAATCACAGCCCCATTTGTTGTTGTTGTTGTTGTTGTTTTCTGTCTTCTCAGATGGGTGGGATATGAGCAGGCCAACTGTAAGGGGGAGCAGTATGTGTTTGAGAAGGGCGAGTATCCTCGCTGGGATTCCTGGACCAACAGCAGGCGTAGTGACACCATTGTTGCATTCCGCCCCATTAAAGTGGTGAGATTTACAAATTTATACCTCCATCCCATAATCAGCTGCTTCACAACTCACCCTTGGCTTGATTTTTTTTTTTCTTCCGATTTATCAGGACAGCCAGGAGCACAAGATTGTCCTTTACGAAAACCCCAGCTTCGCAGGGAAGAAGATAGAAATCATAGATGATGATGTCCCCAGCTTTCACGCACACGGCTACCAGGAGAAGGTCTCTTCTGTTCGGGTCCAGAGTGGCACGTGAGTCCATCCTCTCAGCAGGTGCTGTATATCATAGAAATAGCTGCCACATGCCCTTTGACCTCTAACTGGCTAACATTTGTTTCCCCTCTCTTTGCTTGTGGTGCACCAGCTGGGTGGGCTACCAGTATCCAGGCTACAGAGGCTATCAGTACCTGTTTGAGAAGGGGGAGTACAAGGACACCACTGATTTCGG